ATAAGTAGGTTAATATAACTGAAGAGACAGTTCAAAAGCATATCACTATTTATGTTACATGAGGTAAAACTAATCAGTGGAGAATGGAAGGATTTTTTGACAGAGAGTTCTCTTATGATTGGTTAGCTATTTGGGTGGGGGAGCAGAGAATTCATTTAGGTCCTCACCTTATAGCACATAGCAAAATATATACCAGTAGATTAGGATTAAATAATTAAATTTAAAAATATCAGTCTGGGCATGATGGTTCATACCTGTAATCCTAGCGCTTTGGGAGGCTGAGGCAGGCAGATCACTTGGGGTCAGGAGTTTGAGACCAGCCTGGCCAACTTGGTAAAACCTCGTCTCTACTAAAAATATAAAAATTACCCATGTGTGGTGGTGTAGGACTATAGTCCCAGCTACTTGGGAGGCTGAGGCAGAAGAATCTCTTGAACCCAGGAGGCAGAAGTTGCAGTGAGCCAAGATCATGCCACTGCACTCCAGCCTGGGTGACAGAGCAAGACTCCATCTCAAAGAAAAGAAAAAAGTAATTTAAAATATCAAACCATCAAAAAACTATTATTAAAGAAAACAGATTTTGTCCTTCAGATCTTTGAAAGACAAAGCCCTTCCAAGTTGAAAAGCAGTGAAAGAAATCACTAAAGAATAGATATGAGCACATACATTTGAATGTTACACATATCTAAAATGTCATAAACAACATTAAAATATAAACTGGAATAAACTATCTTCAGTGAAAAAAGCAAGCAAGGGGTTAGTTACTATCTTTTATAAAGCACTTTCAGAAATCAACTACAGAAAGGCACAAAGTGATCATTCACAACAGAAGAGATGGAAATGGCTAATACATTTTTGAAAGATGTATTTCACAAGTAAGCAAAGAAATGCTCATTTAAGTAGCAAAGGCATGCTAATTTTTTCCCTTTCAAGTTAAGAAAAGCTAAAAGTTAACTTGTTTATTGTTGGAATGGGTATAGTAAAAAGCCATTCTTAGGCATTACTGATGAAGTATACATTTGTATAATCTTTTGGGCAAGTAATTTGGTAACTTCAATCAAAGAGCTTAAAAATCCTCCTAGTTTCTTACCTCATAATCCTGTTTTAGGAATCTATCTCAAGGAAATTCTAAAAAGTACATACAATATTTTGTGCACAAAATGTTCATCTCCATATTATGTATTATATTAAAAACTGGAAAGTACTAAATGCTTGATGTGAGAGGATAATGATTAAGTAGACTAGAGTAAGCAACTGAACACAAAGAGTGAATATATATACATATATATGGCATGAATATATAATGTAGTCTAAAAAATTAAAGTATGAATATGTATTGAGTAATTATTACATGTCTGGTACTACCCTAAATGTTTTAATGCATTTGCTCATTTAGTCCTCACTTCAGTTGTGCTAGGTATCTTCACTTTGCTTCTCTAGGTGCCACCACCACACTTCTCTACTCTGTTCTGGCCCCTGAAGACTGACCTGTGTCAACTAAGGAAAAACAGATCAAGCTTTTAAAGAATTAATGTTAGTTTTATTCAGAAGTCTTACTGGAGACTACAGACCAAGGTTTATAGTCCAGGAGCAGTTCCGTCAGACTGCTCTGGCACAGTGTTTCAGCCCATTGCTTATAGACAAGCATGGGAGTTCAATACATGCAAAATTAAATCAAACCTGCTCAGAAGTTACATTGAAGCGGAATCACATCTAGGTTTGGGTGTAAGAGTACATCTGGCTATAGACTATGGAAGCATAATCACTAACCCCATCAGACGTTACCTTATGTGTAGGGAAAGGCAAGGACTAGGGTCATTTACCTTTTAAGGAATATAGTGACTCAGACAAGAGATATGGGGGGCCGTGTGCTCTATCCTGTTATGTCTTCGAAGCATCCTCTGGTGAGCTGCACATCTTCATAGAGTCAGAGGCTTTGTGAAATTATGCTGGCAAGCAGAAATGAACAAACATGGCTTCTTGGCACTTAATAGTTTATCTCACACCTGTATGGACTGCATCAACAGAGTCTCCCTTGCTTTCTAGCTTCTGGTTGGATTAGATCTATGCAGAGGACCAGCAGGAGACTGGAGGGAGGGAGATAAGGTAGTTATTCTCCCAGCTTCCTCCCTGTGGGTTTCCTGTGGGCTGACTGTCTCACTACACCTTGTGTCAGGCAGCCCTTTCCAAACAATATTGTCACTAAAGTTCTGATGACTGCTCTCTCCTCTTACCTGTTCAGAGTGATACCTTCTTGCTGTTACCAACCTAGGGTACTGCCCAATTCCTCATGGCTTCTCTCCATCTTGCCCATATCTTTGAAAATAGTTGATGACACGCTCTTGAAATTAATTTGAGTTTGCTGTTTCCTGCTGTAACAAGACCAGCTCAGCCGTAGCGACTCCCACCCAGGTGGCACTGAAGGCATTAAGAAGCAGACACCCAGACAGAACAACAAAGTGGGACTATCTGGGGGGACAACAGCCTCCCAAGCTGAAAGCCTCAGAGGGCTGACAGCATTCTAGGCTAAAGACCTCAAGCAGACACTGACCTACGTATTCTCTCTGAACAGGTGATGCTTATTAATAAAGAGGTGTTTAATATTTTCTCATAGAACAAAAATAAACTAGGTAGGCAGCTGGTGCCTGCTTATCACTGATCACAGACAAACTAAAACGTATTCTCCACGAGGAAGCCATGGGGGCAGGGTCACATATCCCATGCTTAAAGAATTGTTTACACCGGTGTATGATATACATATACTGTCTTGCCACTTTAGAATGTCCCAAGTAGTTTTCCACTTGGTGGGGGTGGCTAGGTTTTCCTTGCCATCGTTCTTCTTAGCAAACAATATATTTTATCATACATTCAGCATTTCTTAGCAATCATACTCTCAGCATTTCTCAACACTGCTGGAACCCTGACTGATTCAACAACTTATAGGATTCTATGATTCTATGGTTGGGACAAGCATAGAGAAGTCAAGTAACCTGCCCAAGGTCACACAAGGGAGGAAATAATACTTATGGGATGTTTCACAGTTATTTCTTTATTTATTTAAAATGAACTTGTATTGTTTTCCTACAGCACAAATAAAATGAAAAGAGAAAATACCCATATTTTTTCTCATTGATTTCCATCCTTTATTTAATAAGACTTCCCCATTTTCATCTCCAGCCAAACTCTTGCTTCGAGTGTCAGTTGCCTACTCTAAAACGTTCATCTGGATGTCTCAAAGGCACTTGAAACTCATCATGTCCAAAAACATGCTCATGGTTTTCCAAATCCCAGCTACGACCAAGTCCTGTGAACCTTATATGTAAATGTCTCTAAGATATCCCCAGCTCCACTGCCACCACCTACCTCAGTCTAAGACACTTCTACCACTTTCTTTAAAAAATTTCTAACTTTGGTCTCCCTGTACCTATCTACTCTTGCCCAATTATGCACATGGCAGGCAGACAGACCTCTCCAAGTTGCAATCTGGGTATATTGCCACTTGCTTAAAGTCTTGCACTGGCTTCTGTTGCTCTTAGGATAGAGGCCAAGGATGCTACCTTGGCCCAGTCAGCCTCAGCAGCCTTGTCTCCTATACTTCTCCCCTTGCCCCAGCTCCACTGACTTTTAGTTGCCCTAATGAACTATGCTTTTTTTCTACCACAGGGCCTTTGCATACATTGTTTCTTCTTTCTGAAACATTTTTACACTTCCTCTCTCAAAATTAATCTCCAGAGGGGTCAGAACACCCTAACACTTTCTTATCACTGTGGATCTTTCTAATATAACATTTTGTATTTACACATCACATAAACAGTTGTCTATGTCCTCTGTTAGCTCCTCTGCTAGACTGTGTGTTCGATGATGATGGTCTCTGTCTTGTGATGCCTGTGTATCCCCAGTATTGTGCCCTGTGCCTAGCACGTAGTGTGAAATCAAGTATCTGAATGAAAATAAATGAAAACAATGAGAATAAGGAGAAAGGTGGGCAGAACCACATTAGAAAAAGCTGATTTACTTATATCTAGTATTTCTTCTCTCTATGCTCAAAGTCTACCAAGATAAAAATGATTTCAATTTAGTCATAAGTCTCAAGTACTTTTCTAGGAAGTAAAAACTATTAAAACAGGATGAAGAAAAGACTAAATCCATATTTCGTTACAGTTTATTTGACAAGATGTTTGATACAGAATGGGGCGAAGGGCAGCAGGAGAAATGTTTATAGGTGGGAGTAGACATCATTAGCTTCCTCGAGTTCTCATCACTTTCTCTAAATTTCTGTCACTATTTCTTCTATTTTTGAGAGTTCCAGTGATGACAAATTCACCCATTGATGACAAATTCAGGATAAGAGAAAGTGAAAAGTTAAGAAAGGGATAAAACTAGGAAACAGAAGGCTGGCTGCGCAGTAAAATATATGCACTAAATAGCACTCTTTTCAGTAGCATGGGGAAACAGGTTTTCTTATTTCGTTTGTTTCTGCACCTTAACCATCCCTTTGACCTTTGCTTTTAAAATGCAGTCCCACTTAATCTATGATAGGTGAGTTAATTTTCTGACCTACTTGCTTCTACTTGGGTAAAGCGCCTCAGCTTGAAAAACCCCACAGAGAACCAATAATTGCCCGGTCTCCCTCAAGTGATAGTTCTCGCCCCGCCCCCCGCCCTCGCCCCGCCCTCTCCCCGCCCTCTCCCCACCCTCTCCCCGCCCTCAACCTAGTGAGGGCTCGAGGCTGCGCAGACCTCAGCGGGCCCTTGATGACGTTACAAAGGGGCCAGACCAAGTCGGGCAGCACCCTGTGATCCTGCCCAGCTCCGCCTCCTTCAAATATCTGCTTCCTTAAGTTCACTCTTGGCCAATTGGCTTTTACTTAAAGTCAAAGAATGAAAGCAGTAAGTTGAGACCCCACGCGGTTACACGCACATCCACTTCCCAACTCTCGCCAGGTCACGGAGCCTCCCGCATGCAGTGGCATCGCCCAGCCACGCCCAGTGGCTGGGTTTCTAGCGCCTGCTGGCAGGCAGATCGGGAAGGCGGGGCCCGGCGGGCCAGGCTAGCGCTACATCTCCCCGCCCCCGACTGGGCCCGGCGCCCAGGACTGGCCTCCAAGAGTGCATACCGGCAACAGCCTGACTGGAGAAGGGCTGCGGGGAGAGGAACGCCACCCCTAGCGTCCAGAGTGCTACAGCACTTGAATCATGAACACAAACTACTCAGCCTCCTCTCCCGGCGGCACCGGGACCGGGACCGGCACCGGCACCGCCACTGGCACCGGGACCGGCACCGGCACTGGCATCGGCACCGGGAGCTGGCGCGAGGCGGAGGGCGCAACTGCCCAGGTCCCGAACTCGGCCTCCAGCTTTGACTACACCTCGTACAACCCGTCTGATTGGCGGACCGTCTCCAGTCCTCCAGGTAGTTCCCAGAGGAGCATGTCCTCAACGGCCGAGGCCCCCTCCTGGAGCACCAGCATACCCTCTCAGATCAACACCACAAGTAACCTTAGTACTGACTCCGACTCCAAGAGTAGCTTGGCAGGTTTCAGCGCTTACATCTTGGAGAGGCGGATCCCGGAGTCTACCCTCCGCTACAACTCCTCCGATGGGGCCGCCACAACCTCCAACCACAACGACGGCATTCCCCGGGTATCAGTAACAAGACCTACCCCGTCCGTAGACTGGTCGTTAGAGTCACTACAAGGCTCGGCCTTTTCATCTATGTTCAGCAACCCCCGGGATTCGGTGGAAGGGCCGGCCCTGCCCTCGGGTTACGCCCTGACCTCAGTGCCCGGCTACCCCTGGATATTTGTAGAGGGACCTCCCAGACCCAGCGACCTCTCACTACTGTCAGTTCAAACACCTTCTACACACAGTAACACCACCCTAGTGTCAGTACAGGAATCTGCTACATCCACAGCGCCCAGCTTCCCCTGGGTTTTGGTACCAGGACCGCCTCTACCCAATAGCATTTCCCAAGTAACGCCACGAGCACCTCCTGCACCCCTTAACACCTCCCGAGTATCAAGCCTGGCGTCTCCACCACCCTCGGTGCCCGGCACTCCGCAGGTCTCAATACAAGATCCTCCTGGCTCCAACAATCCTTTCCAACTGCCGACCCAAGGATCTTCTAAACCTAATAACTCTCGCCTAACATCAGTACAAGGGTCCGCCCCGCTCAGAGTGCCCAGCTCCCGCCGGGCATCAGCTGAAAAATCAGCTCCGCCCCTGGGCGCTCTCGGAGTATCAGCAAAAGCGTTCGCCCCGCCCTCAGTGCCCGGCTACCCCCGGATATCAAAAGAAGGATCGGCTCCGCCCCCGGACTCCCGGGGGGAGTTGGTAGAAGGGTCCTTTCCGCCCTTTGCGGTCCCCACTCCTGTGCCTACGACCCAGGACAGTATCAACAGAAGCATGACTAGCCAAGAGAAGGCGAGTATAGCGGGCCACATGTTCGACGTGGTCGTGATCGGAGGTGGCATTTCAGGTCAGTGTGGACTGTAGCGATGGCTTGGGGGGAGCTGGCCAGTCAGGGGTGGGGAAGCTGCAGTAGCGCTGTGGCGTTTGGGGGTCTCTGGTGCATGCGAGAGTGTAGTGTAGCCGTGGCTTGGTCCCGTATCCTGCGAGGTGGGAGTGGGGGTTGTGCCCGTTTTGCTGGTGGTGTGACTGGGGGAGGCAGACACAATAATTTTACTACTGCTATTAAATTTACCCCGTACTAGTTGCCATGTACTAATATTTAATTAGCTTTTGCTGTGCAGTTATATTTAACATTTCACGTGGATTTTCTCAGTCCTCAACAGTTCCGAGAGGTGGGAACTAAATTCATTCCTGTTTTGCAAAACCAAGAAACAGGTCTGGGGAGTTTCGGTAACTCTTGAGGTCGAATCACCTAGCTTGGAAGTGGCTGAACGATATTCTCCCATTTAAGACCTGCAGTCCTAATTACTGAGGTGGCTGCTTTGCCTCACTGATTTCATATCCTTTGCCCTAAACAGAACATCAGGATACAGAATTCTGTAGTATTGAGGTAGCAGTAGTGTTATTCCAGTCTTGCTCTTCTCTATTTTAAGTAGAAAATTTAGTAGGTGAAGAGGAAGAAGGCAGACTTCTTTAGGAAAAGGTTAAAAAAAGGGGGGGAAAGGGGATACGCTTTTAAACTATTCCTGTGTGTGTATATATACATATGAACTTGCAGGAAGGCGTAGGGCATTTATTGTCCAAAGAGAAAACCTTTATGAAGCAGGGGCTGAGTGCCCTGTTATATCCTCCTTCCTCCTTTCACTAAGAGCTCCCATCACCTAAATCTTGTCTTCTGATGAGCCAGTTGGTGGGCCAGGGTTCCCCTGGTCCTGGCTTAGATTTGTAGCTAACCAAGTGAGTGGTGAATGAGGCTTTTCAATATCTTCCTGGAAGCCTCATCATGATTGATATATTAATTGTCACTTATTTTACCATCATTGGTGAAATGTTTGAAAGGTAGGAATTTTGTTGCCTTTCAGCCCTGGCTAGAATCCCACACTGACCTATCCTCCCCGCACTAGGTGTTAATAATTTCTGAGATATCCCTGCAGGGATCTGATTCAGAAAGAGAAAGATGGTGGGAGGGAGTAAGTAGAGAGACCCCACAGTAGCCATTTTATATATAATCCTTTTGAGGAGACTCTGAACATGCTTACAAGTTAATGTTCGGTAGAGATAGCTTTTGACTTGGCCTGTTCAGGAAAAACAGTCACATGTTTGTTTATCCTGAACAGAGCAAGAGAAGAGATTGGCATGAACTGTTGCTTTGACAATTCCAGCCAGTGCCAAAAAAAACATGCATGTGTATTGGAGCATCAGAGGAAAGCAGCTCCCGGTGGAGAGTAAGAAAAAGGAGTATTTCCCTTGTTTCTCTTCATGCATTTACTTATTCATTCATTCAGCAAACACTTGTTGAGTACCTGCAGTGAAGTCGCCTGGTGTTTCCCAAAATCTGGTCCCACTAGGCAAGTCTTCTAAAAGCAATATGGTTGTAAATCACTGGAAAATAAATATGTTGACAATGTGTTATATACATTGACTAGGGGTTCTGGGTTCTCTCCCATCTCTATACCATCTGTATTCTGCAATTCAGAGTTCTTTCTGGGGTTTTATTCTTAGTCCTTTTTCTTATTCAGTCTCCAGAATTCCTTAAGGGACGTTGTTGTTTTTTTTTTTCCTCTTCGTTATTACCTGCTCTTCCTCCCTTTCTATACTTTATGCTTAATACTTGGTCATTAGCAGAGGTGAATCTACCATGTAGCTGATAACCTTTATGTTTTATGGTCTTATAACTGTAGGTTTCTTCTGGTTCTCATTCTAAATAAATAACCAATTTCACACTCAGTCCTGTATTTGCAATTTTACTTTCTTATTTCTTAGAGAGCGTCCCCAAATTATATATGTTTTAGGACCCACAAAACCTGAATCTGTCCATGGTCACTATTAATTATTCATTTATTTCCATTTGGGGGAAGTAGAGGGCATTTCTTGCACAGTAGTTCACACCCCTATTCCAGAGGCCAGTTTCAGTGACACTGGAAAAAGCACTTGGCTTCCTCTAATGTCATCTCCATCAGTCAGATCTGAGTGATTTTAATACTCAGACTGATCAGAAGCATTGCTTTTTATCTGTAGTACCTTCCCAGATGGTTCCCAGCTAAAATGAAAGTAGTTGCAAGTGTAGCTCATGTCAGATCCTGGACATAAACTGAGTGTTTCAAGAGCAGGTAAGAAATATCACTTCCCAAGCATTCTTGTGAATTCAGAAACATACCATCTTTGTCTGTGCCTGGCAATATCCCATGAATTACTTAAATAGTCCCTGTGGCAGTTTTATATGCCTTTACATGTTCTTTATAACTTTTGTTAGGACTTGCACACTTTGATAGGTTACCCACATATTCATAATACATCACTAATGCGTAGCATCAGCAGTGTTACTTCTATTATATACCCCCCTAGAAGAGTACATATTCTAAGTGACATTACTCAAAATTGACCCGTATTAGCAACATTATTTTTAATTACTCTCTCTGCACAGAGAATGGCAGCATCTTGATGTGTCTCCTTATTTGTCATTATAAAACACAAAATAGACTATGTGTTACAGCCACAAACTCTTTTCCTGCCTATCAATTAAATAATTCTATATAGTATGTTAGTAGTTGAGAGAGGAAATAACCCTGCTGATTTGTTGGTCTAGTGATGTCTTTAAAATGCTCTGGTCCTTAACCATCATTCATCATCTATCACCCATTCCTTTTTAAAACTCCTTTCATGTTTGCTGTGATGCTTGCTGTCAGATCTTGAATTTTTATCCCACACTGATTGCTGCTTTTCTGTCCCTTTCATTGTGCTCATATTCTTGCAAACATCTGGTTTTCAAAGGTTCCACTGTTCATCACTTTGGGGCTCTTAGGGACTCTCTCCCTCTCTTTCTCATTCTAGGACTTCAGCTGTCTCTTATCTGTAGAAAGCTCTCAAGTCTCTAATTTGAATCCTCTTCTTTCTCTGAATTCCTGTCCCATGGCTTATCTGCTCCTGGGTATTTCATGCTTGAATACAGATTTAACATGTACCAAAGCTACTGTGGTAGCCAATCCAGCTTTTCCTCAGTTCCTTGACTCTGTTCTTAGCACACCATCCCTTCCATACTTTTTTTACACAATATTCTTTTTCATCTTCTGCACCCTTTTAGCAGATCCTTCTCACTCCCCTTTGGGGCTATCTCTCTTCGCCTTTCTCTATGATGACCTCTCTCCCCCCATCACCAGCACATACTCTTTTTATTATTTTTGTATAAATGTAAGGGATACAACTGCAATTTTGTTACATGGATAGACTGTGTAGTGGTGAAATCTGGGCTTTTAGCGTATTCATAAGGTGCATAACATACATTGTACCCATTAGGTAATTTCTCATCGTCCACCTTCCTCCTGCCCACACACCCTTCCAGTCGCCAATGTCTATTATTCCATACCTCTATGTCTGTGTTTGCACATTATTTACCTCTCACTTACAAGTCAGAACATATAGTATTTGACTTTCTATTTCTGAGTTGTTTCACTTAAGATAATGGCCTCCAGTTCCATCAATGTTGTTGCAAAGGCTCTTGACCCCTGAAGCTACCTGGTTATGACCCCCTTCCCAGTGGTCACCCTTTACAATAATGGCTCTCCCTTTATGTTCATCTTGCATGCAGTGTTCCCCAGACTTGATTTTTCTTAAACACTTATTTCATCACCTTACAGCTCTGTGCTCTCCTATTAGCAGCCTCTCAGATACCTCCCTACCCCACTCCCCATCATGCCTCCAATTATTTGTCCCACTTTGTTGGACAAGTAGCATTTCCTACTATTTTCCAACATGGGTTTGAGCTTTAGTCTCACTGCCTCATGTCCTCAGGCTACACTACGTTTATTTTGTTCCTTCATGCCTTTTCTATTTTTATCTTTCTTAACATGGCAGTGCTTCTCTCTTACATTTATATTCTATCTATCCTGCAATACTTGGTTGAAGATCCTTTCCTTGATCACTCTGGCTCCCATTGATTTTTCTCTCCTCTTGTAGAGCTTGTATCTGTACTTAACAAACAATTTACCCTTATTTTCTATCTCTTATTTCATGGTTTGATTTTAAGGATAATGGCTCAGTCCACTGAATTCAGGTGCTAGTTCTTACTCATGAGCTACCACAGATAAAATAAATGACAGAAAAACAGTGGTAGAAGAATTTAAAATCTGTCCTCAACTGAGAATTTCTGAAATGGCTCTCTTTAGGGAGAGAAGAAAAGGAAATGAGAAAAAAGCCTACCTGCAGGGCACAATGTATACTTCTTTCATGAGTCTGTTTGGAATTTGAGTCTTTGGGTCAAAGGGGTTTTAAAAGGCAATCTAGTCCAATCATCTAAGATTTTAATCTTCTTGACAGCACCTTGCTAGTGATTAGGGCCAGATGGCTGTAGCTTTCAACGCATTATGAGTAGAGGTAGCTCTGTCTTGTTTAAGCATGTCAGGAGCCTTTACCCATACATATGCTAAGCAGGGACTAGATCATGGGGAAAGAAAGAGGTATATAAAGATGAGTAAATAGCATCCCTGCACATAAAGTACTCCTATCTTCTTGAAGAAGTAATCAAGTGGGTGAATAATTAACATGAATACAGTGAGATAATTGATATGAATATAATGAGATAAATATCAATGCAGTGAGATAAATATTAATGTTCTGAATATGAACAAAGTGCAGGGATCTTGAGAGATAAGTAGAATTTTAACAGGTAGAGATAAGAGGATGGAAAAAACACATACCATACAGGAGAGACTAAAGGAGCACAGATACAGTCATGAGGGTATAAGCCAGGCATGAGCAGTGCTCAATTTCCCAATGGAGAGTGGGAATGAAAATAGTTGTTTCCTATGCCTCTAGGGATGTGATCCTGGCAGCTATTGAGATGACCCCCGT